TCAGGAAAGAGGATGAAGACATGCGAGTTCCACTCCTAAAATGCACGAAATTGCTTTGCAAGGGTCAAAGGGTAGAAGGAGAAATAACTAACGTGCTTGACGCTATCAAAAAGCGACAGTACACCCTTCTTTATACATTCTCTCGCCAAAATATCCGTATCCTGGACTGAAAAAAAACCATTATTTTCTCTCCTATGGAAAAATTCAAAAAACTCAAGCTCACATTCATCGGTGCTCGCGCTGACAAAAGTGGCCAAATCCTCGCTTTCAATGGGCAATTTCTTATGCTTCAGAATGATTTTCTTCTTCAGAGCGGCTGGCGAAGGCAATTCCGTTTCGGATGCACTAATCTAGAAAAGCTGTTTTTAGTTTTTGAAGCTCAAGCTATCAGCAAGTACCGGTTGGGTAAGCAGATCGTCCCCTAGAATTTCTTTGACTTCTTGTGCTAGCAACCGTTGAGCCGGGACTGAGCAATTATCCTCGATCGAAAGAATTACAGGATAACTGGAATGTGAGCTGATTATTATTCATTGTTAATCTATTGTTCTTTTTTCTTCCAAGCATCATTTCTTTCGCAAAAGTGACATAAGGTGTTCTGAGACCTGCTTCAAAGTTGTGATAATCCCTTTTGTTCGATCAAAAAGGTGTAAATTCGATAGAAACCCACACACTGGTAAGGAATGCATAATGTTTGATAACGTAGAGTACATCCCGAAGCAAAAGCTTCGATGTCATTGTGTAGCCATGATAGATGACAATGTCCTGGAATTCTTGAGAGTTGGGCTTGCGTTGTCCATCCCAGCAATCCACTGTAATTCAAGTTATTATCGTGTCATACTTCCGGCACTCACTGCCGATATGATTACAGTACTGATGTAAACTTTGAATCTGATATATAATTAGTACTTTCCATGTGTTTGGGAATACTTCAATAACGAAAGATTATGCTTGGCTGAACAAAAACTACTACTTCATTTCAATGTAAACATATATGGGGTGTCCCAAAACAATGTATCGAACGTTAGATCGTAAATTACTCTCTTCCCACTGAGTCTTTTCCCTAGCTTCGAGTA